GGCGAACACTCGGCCACTTAAGAAGGGAGCGCTACATAATAATAGAGCGGTGACGGGTGACTGCAAGCAGCAGCAGCATCAGCGGAATATTGGCCTATAATCATTTTGTCCCGATGCGAAAACATCAATATGCATTATATTATTATTATTCTATGTGTATACATATATATATATATGTATGTATACAGGGCGGTTGATTTGACGTAAGACTCTATGCAATCGTTCGGTAGCGTATTTTGGATTTGGCCGAGATGGTCGGTATTGAATTTGAAAATTGTGTCCTATTATTGCGTAACGTGTAGGTGTCCAGGTTAAAAATAAAAAAAATGTCGAATTTGTAAATTTGCGTAAGCGATTTATAATTCAAGTTGCGTTGAGTTATAATCAAAATCAAATAAATAGGAATACCTATAGATAAGTAATAGTTATTAACTAATTTACCATTTAGGAACCTACTAATCTAACCTCATTTCCATTTTTATTTTTATAAAGGTTTCATTTCGGTTCAAACAATAAAACGTAAACATTCGTGTATTTTGAACTGTAAACTTTTATTACTTACTAATATACTTACTTTTGTAAACTTTTCGTAATTTTTTAATTTTTTTTTTTTTTTGGAAAATCTAAGAAACAAACGTCTCTTAAATTTTACATTATTGTCACCCTTATTTTCGGGCGTGAAATCGCTTTTGGGCAAGCCCGCTTTAAAATTTCAAACAGAAACGTAAATATGAAAAATCCCATAAATAAATAACGTTTTTGTTTAAGTAAATTTCAGTTTTAAAATGTTTAATATCCGTTGATCTCTTTGTATCGCGTAATGTCGATCATCCTGTATATACAGTGTAAATATTCATACAATATAATGTACTTACAGTAAACCCCGCCCGCGATCGACTCGTTCGCCGATAAACGTCTTTTTTTTTCTTTTTTTTTTATCGGCATGATTATAATATACTGCAGCAATATTAACGACACCGTGGCGGCCGTCGATTCCCGTTATACGTCGCGGGGAGACAAAAATGGAAAGTAGAAAAAAAAAACCCCCACGTACTTTGCCGCGTCTCGAATACAGGGGAAGTTCGAAAAACGACCGTATATGATATAGTAATATTACTTGGGTATCTATATAAAGATGCCAAATAAATACGTTTTTGAATATTATAATATGATGTTTATAATATTATAGAATGGCACTACCCCAATAAGTAGCGTTCTCTCGAACAAATGCATAATATTATCGCTGTAAACCCTCAAGTTATGTTCGAATTAGATTTTTCTTCTAATAATTTTAAATCGAAAATCGTATTCAGAAATAAAAATAACGATATTGTTATATTATTATTTGGGGGGTTTTTTTTATGCCTTTAGAACCGACCCTCTTGCTATCTTTATAGGTACACCGTCGAAATCTACTAGTTTGCCCCGTATACCACCTACAAAAGTTCCGTATCCTTTTTTACTACACATCTTCCCGCGTCATCTATGAAAAACGTTTTGCCTCGAAAATTGGACCGTAACGAGGTGTAAAGTTAAAAGACAAAGCCGACAATTTTATACAAATAATATCGTGATTTTCGTTTAGGTTTGAATTTCAAAAACTCTTGTACAAAACATCCTGCACGAGGAATATAAAATTGCAGGTTTATTTCTATTGATTTTCGTAACGATATTATCACCGTTTAAAGTGTGCGAAATTCGTGATGCGCTAGCAACAGTCGCTGTACGAGTATGCGTAATAACGAGTCACGTGTTTTGGTTTGAAGAAGATAATAACATTATAGGTACTGCAATAGTGCCAAGTTTTTAGCAATGAAAAAAAAAAAAAAATCCTTTCCATATAGTATAATAAATTTATATACTATGCGCTGCCGCGTCGCGAAGAAACAGCTACCTGCCTACCTCTGGCGATAAAGAGAATTTCTTGCAGCAGTTTGTTACGTGCGCGTGGCACTCACTTTACTCGTTCAATTACATTGTTTTAGATGTGCATAAATTATTCGCGCGCTGTTTACTTATTAATCGGGTTAAGCACCGTGAGCGACTGCAAGAAAGTTTGACGCGGAATTTTCAGTCGTGTCCCGCGATATCATTAGACAATTAGCCGTTCCATTAAATTCGATATACCGCGACAGTATATTGTTCGAAAACGATTTTCAGTCGCAAAGTCGATACCTATTGTACATGTATATTGGATAATATCACTGTATAGGTATTTACTCGACTGCGCATAAAAGCAATGCCACACTCGCATGTTGCGCTCGCTCCGTCTTACGATATGGCGAAATCACGTTACGTAAAACACGGAGTAGCGCTCTGGTTGAAATTTTAATACCTAAACGCAATGCAACTCGAATTAAAGAGAAAAATATCGTTTAGGGTTGTATTAAGCTTTTTTCAAACAATTTTTACGCGTCGTGTTGATTTTGGGTTTTTTTTTTTCTTTAAATAACTGTAACTTTTCTGTACGGCAATTGATTAGAAAATTAGCTATGCTCAGCTCTTTAGAATATTCGCTACTTTGTATGATATTGTTATTTGTGTTAAAACTCTAATTTCAGTCTGAACGCCACAATTTACGTTCTGAGTAACGTAAATTTGCTATGTAGCCTATTGGTTAGATTGAGACAATAAATGCGGGTAAACCTTCAGTTTTTGTAAAATTGTACATACTTTCTACATTTTAATGATACGACTTTTTTTTATCACTAACTTATACTGTCCGGAACATATTCAAAGGGGAAGGCCATTTTCACGGACGAATATGACGTTGAACATGGCTTTTCTGTACGGAAATTGTGTTTGACCGATGTACATTATGGAAAACTTATTATATGCTTTTTCTAGGTTCTTTACTATATAGGATATGTTGGAGTTATTATTTTTAAATTTTATTTATCTTTACCATAAGTAATATTACTTTTTTGACGAAAATATAATCAAATTTATTTACGATTTCCAGTAAAATAATTACATTTCTATTCCGAACTTACCAATACCGTTCTATTAAAGAACCTAAAGAATCGTAATTCATTTTCAAAACGTATTGAAATCCGTCATATTCAATATTCCTACAGTTTTTTCAGGTCTAAATCGACTAAAACAATGTATACTGTCCCTAATCCCCTTAGGTGATCCCATCCCGATTGTTTAATATTATTTCAAAATAGATCTATACTATGCCAATTGTACTGACTGTCTTGGTAATCGAATAAAGCTTCTGAAAACATGCTTGAATTTGAAAGTTTACTTGAAAACGGTGTATTCACTGTTTTTTTAAAACGAACTTTTAAACCCATAAAAAATTATTTTATGATATTTTTTTTTTATCGAAATTTCAACATGTGAAATAATAATATTCACAATCTTACAAAATTTGAAAAGCAGTCACCAATTCTCTTAAAATAAATTGTTTTGAAAACCATTTAGGAATATAGAAAAAACAATTTTTTTTTTAATAAATATTTTGCAGAACCGTTTTAGTTAAACAAAGATTATTTTTTCATTTACATAATAGTATCATGTTTATAAATATTATATTCATCGTATTATATAGATAGACGTCTTTTAAATCTTACCTATAATTTATAGGTAAGGAGGTTTTTATACAGCCATTTAAACGGCGTTGCAGTAAGTATTTTAGTCTGCATTGTCTGATATATTAAATAAAAATGTAATCAAAAAAAAAAAAAAAAGGGGAAAACAAAGAACCTTTTATAATATTCGTGTTTTTTTTTCTTTTTACTTTTCAATCTGCTAAAGCCCTTATTTAATGCATTTTATATCACTCGAAGAGAAGCGAGAGTCTTTTTAAGTTTTAAAGTCGTTTTATAGTAAAGAAGTATATGTATATAGCGGACATTATGTTCTACATTAATAATTTTACCACATAACTTTTGTTTTTATAGAAGACGAAAAGACGAGTGCGGATGTCTATAATATTTACGACCGTAAAATGTATTATTCAATTTACTTACCTTTATAATAGGCGGAGTTATATATATATATATATATATACGCTACGGTTAAATTTTAACAAGCCAACAAAAATTAATTTAAACAAGTGGTAAAATATTGAGCATCAATAATTTAACAAATTAGGTGGGTACCGTGAGTAAACATCTTCAAATCTACATAGTAAATAATACGTTATGAATATTACCATTAACATTTCGTGTCCCCGCTCTTAATATTACAATAAAATTGTTAAAATATCACTTATACGGGTTCAATGGGCACCATTTACCTTTTACACAACACGTTTGAGCACACTTACCTACGATGATCGAAATAATAGGAATCCTGCAGAACTCGCGAGGACGGTAAAAATCCAATATAAATGTTATGACGCACATATCGAAACGTTTTGAAAGATATTAATTTTTCGATTCCGCGAGAACGGGAGCAATTTGTAAAATAAAAATTACAACTCATTCAAAACAACAAGTAAGGAACAGATAGGTATACCTGTACACATTCAAATAGTGTTAAGTTTAAAAAATTCCGCGAACAAATTTTTAAAAAAAAAATCTTGTCCTTGAAATCTTCCGAGAATCGTGATAAAAGAATCACCTTTTACGGAAAACGAAATGCCAATACTATGCTGGCTAATTGTCTTGACTACCGCGAATTTCGCTGCTCACGAAAATAAACAAATGAGAGTCTTTTGTCACCGTGGTATTATAAATAAATATTATCCGTTCAAACCGTTTTCGCATATATTGTTCATTGTGAGTTTGGATCCCGGTGTGTACACACATATAAAATTTGCTCTGACGATTATTTCTACGCATGCAAATTGTCTAACCTTTATTACTCACATTCATATTCAGGTGGAACGTTAACGGACGTCACTCGTCAGTCAATAATTCTGCTGCATCGTAACGCATTTGTCGGGTTCGACAAAAAGTCAAGTTAGCGGTACAAACGGGACCGCGCACGTCAAATATACATCACGTAATAGTACGACTTTCGCGTTTTAATTTTCGTTTGCCGGAAACATGAAAACCAGACGCATGGCAAGTCTGGAAATCACGGACGAGCACTTTGACGGCTCTCGGTTACCGCGAGTGGAACACTCCGCGAACACCGGTGAACAATGTCGACCAACGACGTCGTCGCAGGACCACGGTAGAATCCCGAAGAGTCCTAAAACTACTCTGGCGGGCATCACCAAACCGCGAGCCTCTCGAAGGAAAATCGAGGAAAATCGCACGTATCAGTTGGCCGAGAAAATACGCCTAACGTTAAAACAGAACTTGCTTGTGATGAGCAAAACGTTCGAAATCGAAATCCCCGCAGCTCTCGCGAAATTTCTGGCCGCCATGAACGGCTGCCTGTACATCCGAAGGAAATGTAACGTTTCGAAGGTCACGTTATCGTTTTCCAGCGGTAAATCCAACAAATGGAAGTTGATAATCGACAGCGCGGACGAGAGCCGTATAGACGAAGTTGTGGAGCAATTGAACAAGTTGTCCAGTTATATGGAGTCCGGCGGAAAATCCGTCTAACATGATATTATTATCATTACATTGTTATTGGGTACACGGTGGGACGTGGATGGGAGTTTTTATTTTTTTTTTCATTTTTGTGACCGATGTCGCGCGTTATTGATTTGTTATAAAATATTTTTTTGTTGTGTCTGACACATTGTTTGTCTTCAAACTATTTTCTCAGTGTTAATTGTTTTCTCTTTTTGTAACTGCTTAGACGCAATACGCAGTTTTGATATTTTTTTTTTACCAAACGTTTTTCTCATTTTTTTGTTACTATTTGCATTCATTTTTAACATTACATTGTTCATTTTTTTTTTTTTGCGTTTCGAGTTTTCAGCAACAATTTTTACTTTTATTACTAAAAATTGTGTATAATATTTTTTGTGTATATTAAAATAAAATTATTTTTAATTATTAAAATGTGGTACGAGTTTTGTTTGTTAAATTCACTAAACCTAATATAACGGTGACACAACTGAAACCATATTATGTATTTTAGCAACGAAGACGTAACTCTGAGGGAATTTTTCCTGTGGGAGCGATGACTCCCAATGCCTTTGTTACTCCGGTGCATCTGGTGTCACAATAATACATAATTTAGTGTACGTAATACAATAGATGTGTACTATACAGGTAGGTATGTACATTACACTGGAATTGGGCTGGGACCCATACAGTTTTCTCTACGAAGACATAGCCAATACATATCGCATAGAACTGTTTAGGTTCTATTCCGGACATAATTTTAGTTCGTACATATTGGTATTATTGCCGTGTAAAAGACTAAAGCTTTTAGGATTATTACGCGGGTGTAGACATAAATACACAACGATTTACAATTATTTCAATATTAAAAATTGTCAATGAAACGCACGTAAACAGAAGAGCTGGCAATTAAAAATAATTGCATACGGAGTGTCCCACGAATATATACCTATTATAATATCTCCGAAGACATTAAAGATAATCAAATTCTGGTTGTTTTTATTTGTACTTACTGGGATAGTAATTAAAAATATTTATATTGCAATTAATTATTTATGTTTTGGTAAATTTGTATTTTTATTATTATTGTGAAATTTGAAGATAACCATTTCATAGGGTTTATTCTTCTAAAAATGTTAAAGTTGCAACTTTTATTTTCATTAAATTCGTGATTATTAATAATTTTTTAAAGTTCAGAGAAAAGTGCATATAATTATACAGCAGCCTGTAATCGCATTCTCTAATTGATTAAAATTATTACGATTAATTGACTGTACACATATGTATTTTCTTTGAATTTTAAAAAATGATCACGAATTTATTGAAAATAAATAGTTGATACGTCAAAATTATCAGAAGAATATAAATTCTATAAAATAGCTATCTTGAAATTTGTCAATAACATTAAAATAAAAAGTTATTTTTTTTTTTTAAGTTTTCTATTAAATCATAAAATATGAATTGCAATATAGATATTTGTAGTGCTGGTTCTTGTGAGTAATGTACAAAAAAAAAAAAAAAATGTCGACTATTTTTACATTCCCGGAGATATTACAATAGATATATCTTCGCGGGACACACCCTAGCTGTATGTATATGGCTGGGTGGTTGCGAGCATTTAGTCCCACCTATTATGAAAAAGCTAATTCCAGCGAAAGTATGAGGTTGCAAATTAGAAGCAAAATAATGACACCGATTTGAACGTCGTTTAGACAAAGTGAGGGTTCTACGTGAATTCCCCCCCCCCCCCCCCGTCGAATTGTACCGACGATTCTGTCGAAAATATGAGGTAGCAATTTCGTATTAAAAGGTTGCGAAAAGTCGCAAATAAAAGGACCGTAAAAACGGTCATAATATACCGTACACAATAATAATATTATAATATAATTGACGCGAGATAGGTATATTTTGTTTATTATACAAGTAAATATTTTATAAGACCATATTAGTACGGAACGTAACGAGGAATGTATTGGTTTCACAATGATTATGAAAGAACTTTTTATCTGGCTAGTACTTTGAGGTAGGAATCGTAGAAAAAAGGGGAAAATGTACGTACATGTATAAATGAAACTTCGCTCCGAATCGTTTTTTGTTAACAGTGATTTATCGTCGCATACAGATATTAATTAAATTTCTCTCTATATCCTACCTTCCCGACTTTTCACCAACGACAGCGGCCCGCCCGACGTCCGTTTTTTTTCTTTTGTAATACGTTTTTTCGCATTCCCGCCTCGTGGTCACGATACTTTTAACCGTACGTGTAATAACCTAACCTAAAATGTATTCACAGTGGCGGCTATCATACAATCTAAGTGTTGCTTCAGAAATGCATGCAAAATTTGCGAGTTCTTGGATATGTGTGTTAGTAACATGACTGTAGTTGTACCTACTTTATTAAGTTTAATAAAATATGACGGGGTTAATTTTTGTCTAGTTTTAATGTTTTCTAATTTTCTACAAAATAATATCACTTTAAATTAATCTTATAAAGATATCCGGTAAACTGGTCGCCTAACGATTGATCGTCAAAAAAAAAATAAACAAATTGTGTAGGTATTGATTTATTTATACTACACAATTATTAAATAAAATAACAATAATCACAATTAATACAATTAAATAATTGATCGATTTGCAGTTTATTGATCTGTAATTGCAAAACAAAAAAAAACAAAATATACAATGTATACATTTTTTTAAATTACTTGAATTTAATTAACTTTACCAAAACACAGAGATAATAAAAATAAAATAAGTAGATAATCGGTTAGGTTATTAGCATAAACCGGAGAAAAGTCTATACAAAGCATTCATTTTTTTTTTTTTCGGCCACCAGTTTCGCAGCCGCGATTAATTGTTCGCGATCGATTCGCCGGCGCATCATCTCACGAAGATGCGCGGGCGGGCCACAGGAAATATCCTCGGCAACACGTATCGCATTTATTGTGAAGATAGTCGCCTACTGAGCACGTACAACGTACAGCACAGTACACGTACACTGTATACAGCGTGCACACAAAACTCGACTAGTGCGCGGACAGTTAAAACAACGTACGCGCGCGTATGGCATCGTAATGCCCTTGTTGTTGCGGTCGCGGCGTTCGTAACTATCGCGCCGGGCGAAAAGGGGTACGAGCCGGACGCCATGATGGAAACCGTGCGGCTACCAACCACGACGGACCACGAAACCAGTTTCCGCCGCGCGGCCGGTCATCGCGTGGATTCCGTGCCCGGCCACTGGTACCCACAATAATACGCGTCATTGTCGTGATTATTATGCCGCGTTTCTCGAGACGGGTGTTTTTCCCCGGACGGTTCTCGAACCGTTCGGTTTTGATTTTCTCGTTGTTTGCACAATAACGTCGACAGTGCTCGCGGGCGGGTCACTTTTGTGGGTAGCGGGTAGCCGCGACGAGGTGTGCGGGACAACATTCGGTTTTGTATACACGCTGTAAACAAAAACGATAAATCGTCGCGGTTGGGGTGGGGGGAAACGCGAACAGCGGGGATCCGTTATTAGTGCCGGATTTTCCTCCGGTGTCGCCCCGTTACAATATATAATTTTTTTTCGTTTTTTTTTTTCAATAATTGGTCTATAACATAGTTATGGTCGCCAGAGTTTTATTACGTTTTGGTCTGTAGGGATATTTGAAACCGGGTATTCCCTGTTAAACACGAAATTCGAGCGTTAAAAAGGTCCGCGAGGGAGTTGAAAGTTTAAACCCCTAAAACGAACATGCTTGATACATACACTATGTATGTATATTATAAAACATTTCACCTCCTCGCTTCATACGGGGAATGTGTAATTTCCCGCGCAAAAACATAATGAAATTCAACAAGACAACTAAAATAATTCCATAACAAAATATATTTCCGTGTAGTAATTCCCGAGTTTGAGCTCGTTTGGTTGAGCAAACAGTTTATTTTTCTATCACATAATTTTACTCCAATCAAAATACAACGGGATACCTTTTGTGTAGAATTTGTTCATCTGGTTGGTACGTTGTGAAGTTAATTTTTTGATTTTTTTATCTTGTTTTTTGTTAATTGGGGAAAACCCGAAAAAAACCTGTAGGAAAAATCTTGTTGTGATTCGATCACAAATATATGTTTAAAATTCATATTGGATTTTTCTAAATGTGACATAATTTTCAAAATATTCTGGCGATTCGTGAGCTATTTAGGCGTTTGATATTTTCGGTTTTTTAGTTTTTATTTGGTTTTACGCGAAAAAAATTAACTAATTCGTTATATATCTTACATTACCGAATCTCGCTCGTGTTTTGTTTACAATATTATTGTTACATTATACGACGGCGTGTATTTACGGAATACAAAGACTCCGCTACAGCTACAGTGAAAATGCAACTTACGAATATTTCTACGGCTATATAAAACAACGTACTGCGGCCTAAAATTACGACATTAACACGTGCGTGGGATACAATAATATTATGACGTATAATTTATAATGACGACGAATAATAATAATAATAATAATAATAATAAAAAAAACCGTTTTTAAAAATAAGACGCGCGAGGAATGTGTGATCCATAACATAATACTATAATGACGGGCTTATTACAATACGTATATAGTAATATTATCATAGTCGCGGGCAAGTTCTGTCGATGTTGTTGTGCTGTTGTCGTCGTGATGTGACTCAAAAGTCGTCGGTGTTGGACCCGAATACCACAATACTCCATCGCGCGATCATCGCGTTAAACAATAATATACTAATAATTATTATTATTGTTATTACACCGCCGTCACCACTGCACCGGCTCGGTGTAGATTAGAGAGCTGCGGTGTAGCGTTTAATCGGCTTGCGGCGGCATTGTGTTTGTATATTATAATATATTAGGTATACGATTATAATATATTGTATGGTATATACGTGAATATTACAAGTACAAAAACCGTACATTGTCATTATCACTGTTATGGTACATCATCGTGTTTTTCAGCTATTGCCGAGCGTGTATATTATATTGTATGCGCGGTATGTGTCATGTGTGTGTGTGTGTGTGTGTGTGTGTCTGGGTCTGTGTGTATGATGTACGACGTGTGTATCGTGAAGTTCAGAATCATCATGTTATTACAATATATAAGTATGGAATTATAAGAGCGTAGTTCAATAAAACTTCACGGTATGTATGTATGCGTTATATATTATTATTATTATAATATAGTTTCGACGTGACAATAATATAACGCGTTGTGTTCAACAATCCGTGAATTATTGGGGTTTCGAGAAACGATCACAATTTAAGGTTTAAACTCTAAAGCAGAGGTTTTCAAACTTATTTGTCCATTATATGTACATAATAATGTGGATGTGTCACGTACTACATCATCAGCTGTCACTACTCGCGGCTGAAAATTGAACTATTCATAATGTTTATACATTTATTTCAAAACGATAAGAGTAAAGGACAGTGAAATAATACAGTATAATTAATACGCAAAATAGTATTAGACCCATTAATAATGGGCCCAATCATAGCCCTAGGCACATATTTATTAATATGCTTATATTTCCCATTATCAAGTCATCTAAACGATACACCTATATCATAACCAACACTTGAGCTGTATAATTATTTTATAATTTGTTAGTGATTTAAATTTTAAAATTCAAAACTATTACGTTACTAAATTTATTTTATAGTATGTTTAATTTCGGGATGCTGCTATTGTGTATTATTAGAAATAAAATAGCCCCTGTTATTTCCTAGCCCTGGGCATGTGCCTACTTCGCCTTTAATTCAGGTCTGCCTGTTAAAAAACATTTGTACGAATATTCGTTAATTCATTTTTCGCGTTGCTACCACGTGGTCTTCTGCGTACCACCGTGTTGCCTACCGCATACCACTAGTGGCTAGTGTTACGCGTACCACAGTTTGAGAATCGTTGCTCTAAAGAATTTAAAGACAATCGACCGTAACGATGACACTAAACACGACTGCAACGATAACCACGAAGATCGTTTACACGGACGATTGTCGATTTTCGTAGACACAAATATTTCTATACGTTATCGTGGTCAATAGTAACGATGACAAACTGAATTTTGATGTCAATTATACGCTCCACGGATCGCGGATCGTTCTTTAAAAGTATGCATAGGTATTCGAACAGAAAATTTTCCGTTTGAATGTTGTATAGATACTTACATTAATTTTTCGTCAGTAAATCGTTTGCTTTCGCAGACTTGAAGTGCCGAAAAAACGTTTCTGTGACGATAAAACCCATTAGGTCTTAACACTCTTTTTCCCGATATGAATTATATTTGTGCGACAATATGACTGTAGGTTAATACCAAAACCCATGTGTCACCTATATTATAAAGTCTTAAAAGACTGAGAAATAGTTTTAAAAAACGTTTACAATTTTAAAACTAAATTTCAACTTTTAATTGCCACTTTAATGATAAGACTTTTACACGACCCGATACCCATTTAAGGGGAAGAAAGTACGACCATTTTCGTGGACGAATATGATGTTTTAAACCAACACGTTGGAATAAAATTTACTTACTACTGCTCGCGCAATTTTAATTTTGAAAACATATTTGAATTATTTGATTTGCTGTCTATATTTATAAAAAAACATTTGTTGGGGTTTTTTATTTAACCGATTCAGTTCAAATACATAATTAATTAGGTTGTCGGTTTTTCTTAAATAAATTAGAACCTAAAAAAGTGTCAAAAAGAATGTATATGTTTTCTTATATTAAACATAGAAGATAAGTATGCGAATTCACATCATTTTCAAAACGGAAATCGGACTGCTGAAAGTATGTTTATTTTACTCCAGTTCATTGGTCTAAAATTTAAACTCTAAATATACATACATATTTTTTAAAAAAAAAAACCTAATCGCTTTTAATTGCCTTAATGATGAATGATATAATTATATACTTAAGGAGTCCGCGCACTATCTGATCATACAAGGCGCATTGGACTTGGGTTTTGAAAATTATAATTCCAAACACTACATAAATAAATGTATCAATATTACCTGTTTGCACAGTTTATTGAACTCATGTTTGCGGTTATTGGTTAGAAAATCAAAAATCCACATTCGCCCTGGAAAAATTGAATCACTTTACGGGGAACGAGAAGTTTTTTCTTAGGTAAATCACGTGCTTTGAGCAAAGTTCATAATCACTGGCGTGTATATAAAGGAATGAAAGCTGGTTGAACTATGTGTTATATGAGACTTTTAATTTTGAATATTCACGATTTTGTAAAAAGCCACAAGCTCCCAATAATAGACACTCAATAATATTGTGACATGACTCTATAATGACTGGTAATCATGACTTTTCGTATAAATAGTTACACTGCACGTATGCGGTTGCCGTGCCGCAATATTATCCGAAACCCAGAATCTTTTTATAGTTGATTAAAAAACGTGCGTTAACTATATGCCCGTATAATAACATATATTATAAAATATTGTTTATAGGTATTCTCCCCGTTCGTTTTGCTGCCCGATGTTCTAGTATTATATTACTCGGTGCAGTATGCTCTATAATCGTTTGTACGAATCGCCGTGGCTGCAGTTTATAAAACGTTTATATGTATAGGTAAAGTAGTAAGGTACCAATAAATACAAAAAAAAAAAAAATAAAAGAGAAAATTCAAATAATATTCTAAGCTGAGGAGAAAAAAAAAGGTTTGGTAAACCGCAGGTGTGTATATAGTTGTGTGGCGCGCACTGTAAATATTATCAACACCCAAACGATATTCATAAAAACAATAGTTACAATATTATAAAATTATTATTACTAGGTATACCTAGTATAACAATATAACAGTATAAAAAAATCGAACAAATTGGATTTTTTTCTGAAAAAATATCGCGTAACATTAAAACTCAGTTAAATCGGATTAACTATTTGCGTATGCGTATATAAAAGAAAGCGAGTTAATGCAGTTAAATAATTATTGATATCAATGAAATACTCATAATGTAAATCATCAAAATACAATATTTCTAAAATGTTTGTTTTTATCCGACAGTCGGTTAGACACCATGTCGGCTTAGAACCATGGAAACGCAAAACGGCCAAATACAACTTTTTCAGGATAGACGATAACAGTTTTTTATTTTTTTCAAATTGAATTATATACATTTCTATTGAATCGATTAATGTATGCGTTGTAAAGAAATCCGGTTTTGGTTGTTACGTTCCTCTCGTTCTAAAAAGCCAACGTCGTATATTATCCTATGCAATTTATCAACACCACGAGTATAAATCTTTCTTTTGGCGTCAGCCGAACAATAGTAAATAACGAGTGTAAATATTAACGATTGGCGGCGGTGCCGGCCACAGCCAATACTATCGACAGTTTTCGACAGTTTGGATGAACTATCGAATAGCTTTTTCCGTAGCCGAAAACGGTACAATCCGTTAGAGTATAAAATCATATCCGTTCTAAAGAAACCACGATGGGAATAGTTTTCAATCCATCGAATAATTCCGATATTATAACAATCCGCTAGTACCGCCAGTAAATAATATACAATCGCGATATCTATCCGTAGTAAAAACATTCGCGAGATGTTTTGAAACGATCGATACACCTATGTAAAGTCAAAGAAAACATCGCCCGTTATTAGTTTAAGTAGTCAGTTATTATATTGTTGCTGTTTCTGCTACACAGTCTGATGTGCAGCACGATTCGGTTAATAAAATAATAAGCTATAGGGGCGGAAAAACCGAGAATAATCAATTGTGTACTTACACGCGTATATTACTGTATTCGCTGCGGGGCTGTATGTATATATATATATATATATATATATATGTGTGTGTGTGTGTGTGTGTGTGTAAGAGGGTAACTTTTGTTATTTCGAGGGTGGTTTTTGGTCACGGGGAAAAGCGTGCGAATTTTAACAATGATAAAAGAGTATGAAATTATTTACACACACACACAACTACACGACCCATACAGAGATTGTCTACATTCCCCCGGGGATATATAATAACCGATGCACTATATATAAATAAATATATATATATATATATATATATATATATATACACACATACATACGGTTGCAATAAAACGCAACGAACAAATTCTTTTAACTCGAAAACGGCGATAAATTATGCACGCTGTATGTATACGCGACGGTGGTAATTCGGGTCGCAATCATAACAATTATTTAAGCGCGGAATATTCCGGAATCGTTGGAACCCCGGGGCGCGTATACCTACAGCGTATTATAAAAGTGTCGTTATTGTATTATTCAAAAACTATCCGAACGTCAAATCAATTCGCCGGAGGTTTTGTTTTGTTTTGTTTTTTTTTTTTATTTCTTCACGTACTGTATACGCATATATGATGCAGTAATCGTCGAGGGATTCGCGGTGCGCAAGCGAATAAATATATATGTATAAGTTGAAAACAATCCCCCTCGCGGAATACCTACCTACCGATTTGAAAATCGCGCAGTAAATAAACATTATTCAATTTGATTTTTCCCTGCCCTGCGGCGCAATTTTTATTCGGCATAGACACGGACTCACGAAATTATATTTTAATACCTTGTATAATTCACGAAATTCACTATGGTAAATGTTAAAACATTGCGATGAAATATTAAAATAAGTACTCGTACAATACATACTTACGCGTTAACTTCACACAATATTTTTCGTATCCATTACCGTGTAAGCGGTAGGTATATCAGAAACGATGAGCTATAAAAGCGTTTCATAATTCCGTAACTATTGCTTTTCGCAGGTAAATCGCAGGTAACGGGTATATTTTTTAGTCAGCAAGATTAGTTTAAATTTACTGCAAATGCAACGGAAAGTATAAACGATTCTGAGCGGTGTTCGTTTAATAGGTCAGCCATTAACTGGCCTTCAACTAATTACATTAGATGTATGCATTGTGTCCTACTGAGGCAACACGAAAAATAACACAAAAAAAAAAATGCCGAAATTCTTAGCATGAAGCCCTACATAGAAAATGAAATTTATAAATTTGCGGCATTTACCTAACCAATTCACATCGTCTTAGAAATATAATTTTTAATGCTGAAAAGTATTGATACTAGAGGAAAACATTTTAACAACTTTAAAAGTTTCACTTGAAAAGTTTCAAAACTTCTCAATCTAACATTCAGACTCTCATCTGTCGGTTGTTCTTATGGTCAAAATTTCAGATCTCTGCGTGATCTGGTGAGGATTTTTACTAATAGCTCAGAATCTAATACGAATTTGAATATCACATAGATTCTCGGAAAATTGATAATGTAACATAAACAATTTAATTAATTAATTTAATTTGGACATGTTAATTGTTATTGAAGGTTTTTTTCAGATGCATTAAAATAAATTACTTTGTTTGCAGATTCGGAAAAGTGGTTGGATTCGCATCAAAAGTTTTCAGTATGATCACTGCACGTTTTGGAAGTTTTACGTATAATATTAATGAGATATAACTTGGGACCAGGCATAGTATTGCAATTCTCGTGAATGATCTTGACTTCAACGCACGCGTAAGATGACAGATTACATTATCGTCGTTCCGTGTCGGTATTTCGTCTACATAATATTATAAATTGCGTCAATTTTCAGTGTATATTTATTATTAACTGCGGACGCCCTCTCTAAAAAAATATCCACAAACATTAAGACTAAACCTTTCCCTTATGACTTTTGGACTTTTCCAGTCTCGCCTACCTTCACCGGTGAGAGTTTGTTTCCTATATAATATACGAATTATAATATTTTGTTAGAAAATCGATTAGTTTGATCATGTAAACACCACAGTAAGCAAAATCAAACTCTACTGAGCGAACTGAACTGCGTGTCCATTTGGACACAAAAAACCTGTTTAAAAAACGCACATTATTTTTTTTTCACTTAAATAATTATTAATTATACTGGAAGCGATTTATAAAAATGATAAGCATCTATTTTTTACAACCGCTGCAGAATTTATACAGATTGAAATAGTGTAAGTAACCGTAAATAATTTCGGAACTTTTTTTTTACGAATAGAAAAAGTCATTACCTGTTAAAGTAAAAACTAACCTACATAATACATACCATATAATATAAAGGTATATTAATATAATAACGCAACTCGAAAACTAATTATTTAGTATACAATCACACGTAATTTAATTCGTATTAGCTCAGTGATGATGATTCCTTGTTCCGTAAGAACGAATAAATAATTGTGCTTTAATGTCCGGATGAGAAAACGTATTACACTCGTATACTATGTGCACGGTTAACTCTCGCAGTACCTATATTTTCAGAATGAGAAAAAAATCGTAAGTATATACCGCTTTAACGTGCAAGTTTGAATTAACATTTGAAAATCCGTTTCGAGTCGTATTATATGATACGTATACACAGAGTGATTTTTTTTTTTCACGGTCCAGCGATTTTCTCCGGGAACAAGTGCGTAAAGCGATTTCTGTTTTTATTCTGTTACAATCATTTGGCAATAGAACTATTGTTTGGGTTTTATTTCAAAACTGTATTTTCGAAAATTTTTACCTATCTATACTCTACACGTACTTAAAATTTTGACAAGATGATAGTGGGAAACAGTAATAAATTTTATGTATGGAATTTTAGATGACCATCGGCCTTCCCTATTGAGAACTAGGTTCTTAACGGTTTTAAACCGTAACCGGTAAATCCAATTTAAATGTTGAAAATATTGTGTACACACGATCACTAAATGGTTGTATATGATAATAAAAATGACTGAAGAAACCACGAAATGAAATTTGCCGAAAATCTTCGTACTGCGCATGACCGCCGGATCGTGGTAAAAACAAAAAAATCACCCTGTATATTACAATATATATGTATGCAATTATGGCGTGCGTAAATTCAGTTTCTTAATTATTGTATAGTGTATCATTTATAATAATTTGAATGATACCGCTGCAATATTATTATTATTAAATATTTTTTTTTTTTTTTACTTACACGCCTATCTTATGTTACACATGGATATATAAGGTATGATATTATTATATCTATCATCATAATATATTCATATTATATTTTAATATCGAGAACGGTAATAATATCGTCTGGCCGTCTGGGAACTATGCGAGTCACGTATATTATTGCGCGATAGCGTTAATCCTGGAAATAATTACACGTATCTGTATAATACGCATGCAGCATTGCGTAGATAATTTTCTGAATGCGAATAAAAAACGATAATTAGACGCGAGGTTCCGGCGTTACAAATTACTTCTTGCAGTGTAATATTGAATTACTACGATCAACTGCGGAAACTGCACAGAGTATATTATAGGTACGTGAGAAGACAATATAATACTCAGTAGCGTGTTCAGGGGGCATGAGAATAAGGGTTAAATCCCTTCCTAAATTGGCTAAAAAATACAAACAAATATGGGTGGTTTAATATCGAAATGCATGTATTTTAGCCAAGTTACAAAGAGAAGCTTGATTATAAATCGGCTTTTTTTGGGGGATCCGGCTTTTAAATTACCTTTTAAAAATAAACAAAAAAGAGTCTTGTGTCACCATGGTATTATAAATAAATATTATCCGTTCAAATCGTTTTCGCATATATTGTTCATTGTGAGTTTGGATCCCGGTGTGTACACACATGTCAAATTTTCTCTGACGATTATTTCTACGCATACATATTATCTAACCTTTATTACACTCACATTCATATTCAGGTGGAACGTTAACGGACGTCACTCGACAGTCAATAATTCTGCTGCATCGTAACGCATTTGTCGGGTTCGACAAAAAGTCAAGTTAGCGGTACAGACGAGACCGCGCACGTCAAATATACATCGCGTAATAGTACGACTTTCGCGTTTTAATTTTCGTTTGCCGAAAACATGAAAACGAAACCCGTGAAAAGCCTGGAAGTCACGGACGGGCACTTTGACGGCTCTCGGTTACCGCGAGTGGAACACTCCGCGAACACCGGTGAACAATGTCGACCAACGACATCGTCACAGGACCACGGCAAAAGCCCGAAACGTCCTAAAACCACGGCGACGGGCGTCACCAAACCGCGAGGTTCTCATCCTCGAAGGAAAATCGAGCAGACGGCTGAAAATCGCACGTATCGATTGGCCGAGAAAATACGCTTAGCGTTTAAACAAAACTCGCTTGTGATGAAAAAAACGTACGAAATCGAAATCTCCGCAGCTCTCGCGGAATTTCTGGCCGCCATGGACGGCTGCTTATACATCCGAAGGAAATGTAACGTCTCGAAGATTACGTTATCGATTTCCAGCGGTAAATCCAGCAAATGGAAGTTGACAATCGACAGCGCGGACGAGAGCCGTATAGACGAAGTTGTGGAGCAATTGAACAAGTTGTCCAGTTATATGGAGTCTGGCGGAAAATCCGTCTAATATTATATCATAACATTGTTATTGGGTATACACAGTGGGTGGGAGTTTTTATTTGTTTTCACCTTTGTGACCAAATATTGCGCGTTATTAATATGTTACTAATTTTTTTTATCATTAATATTCTATTCCTCTTTTTGTAATCGCCTGGACGTAATATGCAGTTTTGCTACACATTTTATTCTCATTTTTGATTTTTTTTGCATTATTAGTACAATTATTTGCGCAGTAATATTGGTATTGTTTTTACCATTTTCAATAATTTATTTTATTAAATTGTTCATTTATTAATTTTTTTTTTCATTTCTCAGTAACAACTTTTACTTTTATTGTTAAAAACTGTGCCCAATATTATTTGTTTGTATTAAAATAAAATTGTGTTTAATTATTAAAATGTGTATGGATCTATAAAACCTACGTCAAGAAACTAGTACTAATTTAAATATTTTATGATTTAAAGATTACTACAAGAATATTTATAAATGTATAAACAATAATGAAATGTTTTTGTGTGTGAATTATATTGTCCTCTCTCCAAAACGAACACCCAAATGCGACACTGTGAAAAAACACTTATATTTTTTATTTTATGAAAAAACCCGCATAGTTTCAGTGGCACCGAGACCGACGGTCTTTTGGTGGTTCAAAACTTAATTTGAATCACCCATCCACCTAACCTACTATCCCAAGCGTATTACAAAATTGAAAATTGTATAAAATATATGAAAATGTGTATGTATAACTTCAGTGACTACCCACCCTAAAATTGGTGCCACTGGCTCCAGAGTCTTTCTCTTTCGCACATGTGTTGGCTTCGAAATGGCCGTCATTACTGGTCTGTTTATCTAGTAATGTCATGTGTTCTATTTATTCATCAATTTCGTATGGATTTTACACAAATCAACTCTGGATAATACTAAAACAATGTACTTAACACAATAAAATATAAATTATTAACTTGAATTTAATTATACAATGATACAAAAAAAAAATTTAAATTACGTGGTGATTTATGATTCGGTATAAATTTACTTAGAGATGTGCGGGGAGGATGGCGTTTACTTTCTCGTAAGCACAAATAGAGGGGTGCTCGGAGGTCTTTAGCACCCCCAAAAAACCCAATCAGGTTTTTCGTAGTAACGACTGAATATTTTATCCGTGTATTTCATAATTAATGAGCAGAACAAAATACAGACAATGCATGCGTGTATGAAACGACGTAATGTTAAAATATTCATGATCAATGTGTATGTACAAAATTGTCAATGAAAGGTGTAGTTAACTATTGTAAGAACTGTGTAAAGAGAATTGTGGGGCATATGCCCCGTGGGTCTTCGATGTGTCCACAATTTTAGCAACCCCAGAGTTGATGGTCTTGTTGCGCCTGTGCTCGTAGCCCTATCCGCAAATAGACCCGAAATCTAAACGATCCGAGCAAATAACTGTAACGCATTAATACGGCAATAATATTATGCGCCGATAATCAGCAACTCAAATCGACGTTAATGTCAGTATAGCTTGTATTATCGTGTATATGATTATCGTTATTCGGTAATAATCATCGAATCAAATCGTATCGCCGCGCGAAGCCTCCGGGTGGCTTGTTTGTTCAAAAAAAAAAAAAAACCAATAAGAATAAAATATTATAGGCAATCTATTATTATTATATAGGTGGTTATCTACCAAACTGCAGGTATAGCTGCGGGGTATCTGTGGAAAAAAAAAATGGTATTTTAATGACGCACAAATAACGCAATACACACACTTATATATTTTGTGTATATGATAATAATCGTAACAACAACAATATTCGTGAATAGAATATTTTAACGAGTTGTTTGCCATTTGCGGAAAAAAAAAAGTCATTACCCACCACTGTAATAGCTAATAATATTATAATATTTTGAATAGGTACGTATATATATATGTTTATATTATATAGGTTATGTATACCCGCGCTAAGGAAATCCGTCGACATGAAATGCGCACGATACGCTATAATATGCAACCCATTTGATTACGGTCGCGGTGTATTGTAACGATATTGGATATCGTGTCGTACCGTGCTTTGAGCAATATACCCGAAACTCTTAGACTAGGAAAATAAAAAAAAACAACGCTAACGATTCCGTGCACTAAAACCTATCATTATCGTTTGCGGTTACACTGTTATTGTACACACAGTATAATACGGTATAGGTACTGTATGAAAATGTTATGTTACATTCGTATCCCTTCGCGGCCTATATTATATATATAGGGTGATTACTTTGTCGTCTAACACTCATTATGTTTCGAAATCTATTGACTTTTTCGAAACGTCGTCTGTTTTTCTGATACACTTGAGGAACAACAAGCTTCATAAAAGTTACGTTATCGTAATATTTTGTCGCCCTTATTTCCGGGGCGGTGTCACACGACTATAAGTTTTTGATTTTCAAACGACAACTCATATATTGAAAATTCAATAAATAGACGAAGAATCGGTTAGACGGAATAGACAGATTAGTTTTAATACATTTCGGCAATAAACAATTTTCATTTCCGTCAACCCGTTGACCAGGTATTCCACTATTTTAAGTTTGGGCAAGGGGAGAATTGTGGAATATTATTTATGTGGCGGCACGGTGCATGGTGTGTGAATAGTTTCTCTCCCTGTGCCCAAAAATTAAAAGTGGACTACATCGTCTTCGACGGAAATGAAAATTATTTTTTATTAAAAATAAATTACACGCTGTTAAAAAATAACAATAAGTAATGAGGATGACAGTTATATACGGAGTGATCAATCAATCATAAGACACTCATTATCTCGGAAAGTATTAACTTTTTTCGAAATTTGTTGTATAGAAAATTTTAGAAACGAGCAGTTCTGCAATTTTATATTTATGTTATTTTTTGTCACCCTAATTTTTGAGGGTGAAACGACTAACTTTCAAACGGCAACCTATACTAAAAATTCCACAAATAGATAGAATAGTAGTTAAAATAAATTTGTGTGTTTACATTTTTAATTTCCGTCAATCCGTTGACGAGATATTCCACTTTTAAGAATAGGTCGGGGGAGAGTAGTGGTACATTATTAAAACGCCGCGCGTTATGCCGTTACACAAATGATGTTCCACTACTCTCCCTCAACCCAAACTTAAAAGTGGAATATCTCGTCAACGGATTGACGGAAATTAAAAATTTAAACACTAACGTTTATTTTAACTACTACTCCGTCCATTAATGGAATTTTCAGTATAGATTGCCATTTGAAAATCAAAAATAGGTAGTCGTTTCATCCCCAAAAATTTGGGTGACAAAAAATAACATTTAATAAAATTGCAGAACTGCTTGTTTATAAAACAAATGTCGAAAAAAGTTAATACTTTCCGAAAAAAATTAGTGTCTTATGATAAATTGATCACCCTATATTGAAAATTGGACAAATATTGAAACCGTTGAATTGTTTGCTTCGGTATAGGTAAGTAATACAATGAATATCCTTAATAAAAAAAAAAATTATAATAATAATACTCGTTAGTTATATAACTGAAAAACTATTATAACAATCAAAAATTATAATTATGACATTTACAAGAAGAAAAAAAGGAAACAATCACTCAAAACTTTATTCAGTGTAAAACTTTATCGGCCCTCGGACTCGAAGCAAAGTTTTTAGAATTACACTTTTATATATGTTATTAAAATAATAAATATAGAGTAAAAGTACTTTTAAATTAGCTTCTTTTTTCTTTTTAAAAATGTTTGTTTTATAAATTAAGCAGTGACGTAGTATTTAGTTATTTTCGTTCGGGTATTATAAAGTATAGACGATTTCTCCTTAAGAATACATACATTTGTTGTTTCGTCTAACAAACTTACGATATAGTTAAAATATGTTTACGCAGACTACACAGAGCTCGCTTGATTTTGGTTTTAGATTAAAAAACGCCTATTATAAAATTAAAAGTTAACAATATTCTGGAAGACAAGATGTTGCGTTTTTTCCATTTTTTCCGAACGTAACAGTTAGTTAACCGTTTATAAATAACGATTTTTTCAATTTTTTTTTAAAAATTACAACGTCTTACCCTCCGGGATATTATTTTCTATTAATTTCATATTAGTTGCTTTTACTCTAAAACAAAAGCTAAGTAAGTTCTATATAGTCTGCTTAAGCATAATTTTACTGTATCATGTGTTTGTAAGACGGACACATATGTTGAGTCCTCCTAATAAATAAAACAAAAGTATTAGAAGATAGAGGGGAAATTGAATATATTGAACAGTTTCAAATGTATCTACAAATAAATTTTACCCATTCCTCGAAAATTCGGCTTTAATTTGTTTTCCCGGCGCTTTTAATCCATACTTACATATAATACAGTGGCGTACCGATAGAATGGTATAGCGAGCAATGAGCCACGGGTCTATGATATTTAGGGGTCCCATAAGAGGCTAAGACATTATTTTGAGTGGGTGGACAGATATAAAAAAACAGGCGATGCCTTTTTTTGCTTATTAAGTAAGTAATACGAGATGTGCAGACAGGTGTATGAAAACAGTCAATGTTCTTTTTTTTGTTCCAATTTGAGTAGATTGATCCCCAACTCAAATTGTGTATTTAGCCCCCCATTTAGTTATTTTGCTACGAGCATTAGAAATTCTCGTTACGCCACTGATATAGTACCTATCTTTCTTTTACATGTGTGATAAAAATTAAAAATGTCTCCTACTTGTATAATCGTATGTACAGATATTGAAATAAATAAAATGTTATCGAGTAAGACTTGAAAAAAAAACTTGCATTGTGCAACGTTGATTTTATTTTTTCTGTATTACAAATAAAAAAAAAGCTGTTTTTCCAGAAATGGGTGTGCTACTGTTAAAGGTGAAAAATTGAGAAAACAGGATGCATAAAGTTACATAATTTATATTGGTACGCAACGATAAACTACTTATACCACTAAAAAAACGAATCTGAGTGAAATTCAGTTATAGATTTACATGTTTTG